CGCCCCCCGCCCCGCCCCCGGGGGCTCAGCGCAGCGCGGGGTGCTCGTCGGCGTGCCGGCTCGCGAGGCGCCCAGTGCGCAACAGCGTAGTGCAGTGCGTGCATTGTGTGCGTACACTGCATGTGTGATAGCACGCTGGGTTGCATGGCCTGCGTTGTCCTCGATCGCAGTGCACTGCATGCATTGTATCGGGCGGCACTGCGTTCATGTATCACACTGCATTCGTTCTGCTATGTTGGACCGCATGACATTCAGTATGCTATAGCCCAGTGCACTGCATTCATTGTATCGCATTGCATTTATTACAGCACGTTGGATTGCACTGCATTCATTATGCTCTATTGTAGTGCTTGGCATTTATTGTATCACACTGCATTCGTTATACTATGTCGGACTGCACTGCATTGTAACTGGATTGCATTGCGTTCATTATGCTGTGGTGCGGTGCATTGCATTACTTGTCTGACATTGCAGTGCCATGTATTGTGCCATTGGACATCACATCTGTTCTTTTTTCCCAGGCTTCTGGGCTTTGCCGGTTGCCCCCTGCTTTCTGCCACCTGTGCCAGGCTGTTGTCAAGCCTCCGTCAGAGGCAGTGGGTGCTGGCTGCAGCCCAGGATCCTGCTGGGGCCAATGCTGGGGGTTTGTGGCTGGAGGGTCTTGCCACCACCCTGCTCAGAGTCAGACCAATTGCCAGACTTGGGGTCAGGAAGGAATTTTACACCATGGTCAGATTGGGAAGGACTGTGAAGAGTTTTGCCTTCCTCTGTAGCGGGGGGGAGGCCTCTACCCAGGATCTCTGGAGCATCTATTGACAACACATCATGGAAGCAGGGTGCTGGCTGCCGGGTCCCCTGCTTTACCTGGGTAGGGCAGGTTAGGGTGTCGGGGCTGTCTCGATTCAGGGCTGACGGCCGGCTTATGTAGCGTTTAGATTATGGATTGCATGGGATGGTTTGGATGGGGCTGATCCTGCCTCGCGCGGGGGGTGGGACCTCTGGAGGCCCCTTCCAGCCTGACTTCCCTACGGCTCTATACATGACATCCTATCAGATCTGATTGTATCATCCTGTATCATACTGTTGTACTGTATTATGTATATTAGAATAGGTATTATATATAATGTGTAATGTAGATATATAGTGTGTGTGTGTGTGTGTGTGTGTGTGTGTGTGTGTGTATAGGTATTATATATTACATTAGGTATTGTATCTTACATATCTACATATGTGTGTGTATGTGTATATGTGTGTGTGTATATATATGTGCATGTGTGTATGTAATCCTTACTGAAAAATTAGATGTAGTGGACTCTTAAGATAAATCCTTAACATTTAATTTAATGCTTAACATAGCTTGGCAATACTTCTTTTTTTTGCTTCTTGCCTATACCAGCTTCATTTCACTTCCTTCCCTTAAACCAACCAGCAGTCTTCTGCCTTTCTAGCCTCAAGGCACCTCTCAGGAGACTCAAGGCCCCCATCAGAAAATGCCAGCTCTCATGGTTTTTTGTCTGCAAAAAAATAGCAGTTTAGTTCTTCTATTGCAAAGAACAACCCAGAGCAGGGTAGGGTGTTTTTAACACTGCAGATTCCTATTTGAAATCTCTGGGTTTATATTGTGAGTCCTGGTTGCATTCTTGACAGTGCTAACACTGCAGAGCACCCCTCGGAGGCATCTCAGAGCGCCCCAGGGTGCCACAGCCGCCTGTATGAGAATCACTGCCTTGATACAGATCAGACAATCGTTACCTGAATATGAAATAGTCAGGACAGATGCTCTGCATTCACAATCGTTTAGCTTTTCCAACCTGCTGTTAAACAAAGATGCAAAGCTTTGTGTTTTTTTAATTTGCCTCTTAGAAATGTTGCCCCTTTCTGTGAGACCCAAGGCCAAGTTTCCAGCCCCCTGTGCTGAGTGAGACCCACAGCCTGTCTGCTTCACTCCCATAAGTAGGACTGTTCGGTTAAATCAGTCTCTGGTGCAGGATTTTCATTTAGCTGAGTTATCTCAGTGATGAACTTGGTCTGGGGGTTTCAGAGCTATGTGATAAGTGGTTTCTTTTTCTTCTCTTTTCTTTTTTTTTTCTGACTCTGGCCAAAGTGGGGATAACCAGAATATTCCCTTTTCAGATTTCTTTGGGTTTTTTTAACTTTTATTTTCATCATTGAAGCCTGACAGACTTGGAATCCTTTTGAGACAGAAACTCAAGACATTTCATTTGGAAGATGCCAGACTGAGACATTTCAACTCTTTGGAGGTTTGTTTTTGGAGCTGAAACTCTTTGTTGTTCAGCATCCATTGGTGCATTTCTTCCATTGACCCAAAAGTGCATTGTTTGGCGAGTAAGCCATTCATGTCAAGCAAAGGAAGCACAGCTCTATCCACTGAAATCCTCTACCGGAGGAAAAAGAACAGGACGTAACCCGTACTTTAAAGTAGAGCTGTGAGCTCCTCTGCTTTAACTTGCGTGGTTATGTTTTGCTTCCTAAATCTCCGCATTTTGAGCTGGAAAATCCTTTTCTGCCCCTGAGTTGCTGCGTGCAGTTGCTGCCTCCTATCCCAGAGGCGAGCAATGGACCCGGTGGCCCTGCAGGCACGGACACTGCACCGGGAGACCTCTCTGCAACTCCCTAGCGCTGCTCCCCCAGGCCCTTCCAAGCTAACAATCCCACTTCTGCGACTGCAGCTTTTGAGCAGACCTTGCTGACGGTCTTGGACGTCCCCCAGAAGGACAAGGTTGGCGATTGGTGTCCAAGCCAAGCTGCATCAGCAGGAGCCTCTCGAAAGTCCCGCAGCAATTTCCATGAGATATGGAGACTTCACTTCCCGTGTTAAATCACGCCTGGGAACCCTCATTATACATCTCGGCCCTTCATTCCCATCCCTGTTTTCTCCTTTGCAGTCCCTAGCAATCAATTGCTATGTATCTAACTGGGGGCGGGCAGTTATTTTGGGCGGAGGGCCGCTTACTGAGTTTTGGCAAGCCATCGAGGGCCGCACGACAGGCAGCCAGAGGCAGATGAATATTAATTTTCTAAATTTTTTAGGGGCCCTGCGGGCTGGATAGAATGGCCTGGCAGGCTGCATCTGGCCCCCGGGCCCCCTGAAATGGTTTCTCTGTAGGTGAGGGCAGTTTATAAGCTTCCTGGTGGGCCTAGGATTTGGTTTTGACCCATTTTTAAATCAAACCCTCCCTCTGCAACAGAGTATAACAAATATCAAAAGTCTGTTGCTTTGTCCTAGCTTGTGCTCCCTTCGCCGGGTGTGTGATTAGAGGGAGCTCACATCATTTCCTATTCTTGCCTTCCCTTTTTACCTGCTCGGTCACCCTCCACCCTCTGGCCTAAGAAAGCCCGATGATGGGTATCCCAAACCCCAGCCCCACGGACGTCCAGGGGCTCTGCTGGACAGACTTGGGGTAGTGGGTTTCTGTTGCTGGTCACTGGTTCCCAGGACAAGGCGCTTCCGGGAAGAACAGCTAGTACATCCATGGACTGAGCAGAGAGGAGAGTTAGGAGATGGATTTGGATCTTTTTTTAAAAACAGAAAATAGACCCTCGAGCAAATCCACCCTGGGGTATTGTCGCAGGGGCACTTTGGTGCCCTGCACCTATGAAGAGATACAGGTGCCGGTTGCCAGGGCAACCACAGTTTGGTCAGCTGACCGGAAAGGGGCAGGGCCTGACCTATATAAATGTGATCCAGGCTGAGGCCAGGAAGGCAGTTCCCCTCTGGCAGCCGAGGAAGTAGGAGCTCTGTTGGAGCAGGCAGAGTAGAGAAGCCCAATGGCCTGAACAGCTTATGTGTGAGGAGACCAGGCGGAGGAAGCCCTGGTAGAGACTCAAGATGATAAATTGCCTGATGGCGTAGAGTTTGTTTTAGCCAGAAGGCTTAGCTTTGAGTTGTAGCAGATGGGCTTATGTTAGTACATTTGGTTGGTTGCTGTTAGACGGGAGGACCGGGAGAGGCTATTAGGGGTTGGGGGAGGCCTCATAGGGGCTCCACAGCGAGTGTGGGGACCCCAGTGCCAGAGAGGGCACAACACTTAGGGGTGCACAAACCCCAGCCCTGAGAGAGGGTGCAGAGGATTGGGGGTCAGGTAAGGCCAAGGCTACCTGAGCCCCACAGGAACGTTTAGACCCAAGGAAGGGATTTGGGGGCCAGGCACGGCTATGGCCACCTGAGCCTCAATTGTGAGAGGCCCCAGTGTGGGCACAGTGGCAGATAAGGCCCCAGCTTGCCTCCACGAGGGCGCGGGAAACTGTGAGACGGACCCAGGGACCCGTGAGGTGGGGGCAATTGTGAGGGGTGCCAGTGAGGGGCGCCGGCTGCGTGACAAGCCCGGGGGGCGCCAGTGAGGGCACGGAAAGGAAACTGACCAAACAACATCCGCGACATCTGCGAGGCTTGGGGCGTGGTACAGGGGAGGTTGGAGCCGCGCATA